TTATTTTCCAGATTTAAGGAATTTTTCTTCCCTAAGCTATCTATAGTACACAACAATTTGGTAAAGTATACTTCTGTGAACAAAGGTGGAAGCAATTCCTTTTTCTCCCAATTTTACCTCTCCGAAGTTTGGAGAGATTCTGTGAGTATTCTTATTTTTTATGGTAATATGGTTATTTGTACAAGTTCAATAACATTTTCTCTCTCCGCTGGGCACAGTGGCTCCTGTCTGCAAGCCAGGTGGGCAGATCACATGAGGCCCGGAGTTTGAGACCAGCATGGCATACGTGGAGAAACCCTGGTGTCTACTAAAAATACAAAAAAAATTAGCCAGGTGAGGTGGCACATGCATGTAAGCCCAGCTACTCAGGAGGCTGAGAAATGAGACTTGCGTGAACCAGGGAGGCAGAGGTTGCATGAGCTGAGATTGTGCCATTGTACTGTGGCCTGGGTGACAGAGTGAGACTCCTTTAAAAAAAAAAAATTACTCTCTCTTTATAGCAGGATACAATTAAAACAATTGTTTGTATTATCAAGGCTTTGACTGAAATGTCATATCTGAGAATATGCATAAACTGTGTAACTTCTAGGGTTCTCTTCCTTAAGAGGAAATGAGTAAGAACTGTCACTTCCGGGCAGGTCCAGAAACCTTCAAACTGTAGGTATAATCTAAAGTCTGTCTAGGGTTATCTTGTTACCCTCAGGAAGCTTTTGTTTATTTTTATTATTTTTTGAGACATGGTTTCACTCTGTCACCCAGGTATGTCACCAATCATAGCTCACTGTAACCTCCAACTCCCGCGTTGAAGCAATCTTCCCACCTCAACCTCCCTAGTAGCTAGAACTACAGGCACTTGCCACCAGCCTAGCTTAAAAAGGTTTTTAAATCTGAGGTTACTATGTGGTCAAACCACTGTTCTTACAGGCAGTATTTGATAAAAACTACATTTATTTTACAAACAAATTTGTCTTACTCTATTTTTGGAAAAGTCAAAATAACTATAGGAAGAAAACATTATGTTTCTAAAGAAAAGCTACAATACATCCGTTATTAGATGATAGCTGTGTGCACTGTTTTGAAGTTCTTGTTATTTGCCTATAGAGCAGGCTAGGTCTAAACTCATCTAGATTTCTACAATCCTACTTTACTCCATGCAGTTACCAAAAGTGGGAATTTCTCTGTTTTGGAAGCCCTATGAGCTGAAACGAGATGAATTTTTAAAACTACGTCTCATGACTGATGTCTGGGCCACACAAAGTTCACCGAACTGCCCAATGTCATCACTGGAGACATTCAAACTGCAAACCAGGATGAGAAGTTTATTTTTTTCATGATGTAGACAACTTTTTTCAAGACGTCATAACATGACTCTATCATAATGATATAATAATGCCTACTTTGGCCGGGTGCGGTGACTCATGCCTATAATCCCAGCACTTTGGTAGGCCGAGGTGGGCAAATCACAAGGTCAGGAGCTCAAGACCAGGTTGGCCAACATAGCGAAACCCTGTCTCTACTAAAAATACAAAAAAAAATTACCTGGGTGTGGTGGCAGGCGTCTATAATCCCAGCTACAAGGAAAAGGCAGAAAAATCGCTTGAACCCAGGAGGCGGAGGTTGCAGTGAATAGAGACTGAGCCACTGCACTCCGCCCTGGGCAAGAGTATGAGACTCTGTCTCGAAAATAATAATAATAATAATAATAATAATAATAATGCCTACCTTTTTCACTTGGTAGGATAATGGTCATTCTGTTTATTCAATTGGTTGTCTTTAAGCCTAGGTTTATCACTCAAAGTCCTTATGCAAACGGCTCTTGTCACATCACTATTAATTTTATCTTTTATTTTCCTCTTAAGTTTTATATCTGTCCCTCTGTAATGCATGACAACATTCCCTTGTTTGAACAATAAAGTATACAGTTACCTATTGAGAAAAACCACTGTTTTTCTACACTCTGACACAGAAGACTTCTGATGTCAGATATTGTAGAGTTGTTTTCCTACAATGACCAGTTCTCCAACACTAGTTGGGTATCCTACAATTTAACACAACAGTGACACTACCTCCTTGACAAAAGCATCAGACTCCCCAGGTTAGTGGCTTAGTCCCACAAGACTGCCCACTTCAGATGCCAGTTTCAAGGCCAGGCCTCCTGCCTGACAGATTTGCTGTGAATCAAGGATTCCTATGATCCCCTCCTTGGGTTCCATAATTTACTAGACTGGCTTCTGAAACTCTGGGAAACACTTATGCTTACCAGTTTATTATCAAGGATGCAACGTGGAGACAACAGCCAGAGAGAAGAGGTAAGCAGGGCAAAGTATGGGGGTATGGGGCAAGGGGGTATAGGGCTTCCATACCCTCTCTGGGCACACCACCCTCCGGGAACAATGGTGTTCACCAACCCAGAAGTTCATCAAATCCTGTTATTCAAGAGTGTTTCTAGAGCTTGATCTCTATCTAGCACATCTCCTGGCTTCCCAGAGGTCCTTGGAACTTTCATTGGGGAAGTTCTAACTAACTCTCCAATCACCTGGTGTTTCCATCTTGAGGCTCTCTAGGGGCCCTACTCTAAGAAACCTCATTAGCATAAGCTCAGGTGTGACCCAAAGGGGCTCATACACATAATAAAAGCTGCTCTTGCCAATCAAGAATTTTCAAGAGTTTTAGGAGCTCTGTGCCAGGAACCAGGGACAAAGACTAGATTTCTTATAATACCAGGCTTGCCTTTAAACCAGGCTCCCTCCACCAGGGATCATCCCCTCCAAGGGCAAAGGTGACATCCAGTTGGTCTTTGCTATCTTTCTGGATTCACTCTGTCATTGTTTCTGGCCTTTGCTTTCTTTACTTGCTTTACGAACCTATCAGTTACGCTTTCAAAACATGTAACACATTTTTTAATCCAGCATGTTTACATATTCTTTACTGGTTCGTTTTATTTCGCCCCCTAGTCCAAACTTTTTAATCCATGATACTCTTGACAATATTCCTATTTCTTCTCTTTTCCTTATTTCTAACAAGTACATGATACATAGAAGGAACTGAAAAAATGCCAAGTGAAAGAATGAATGATGCAGGTACCTCTGTTTTAAATGCTTTCTAATACTTTGCAATAAATTTCAAGTGCAGTTAAAAAAAGTTCTTTCTTTCTAATGCTATAATTTCACTCCTGGAAAGGTGAGCTACAACAATACAAAAGGAACGCACTTTACGGACGAAGCTGTTAATTAAGATTTAATTTATATTGATGAAAATTTGAAAACAAGTATGGTCACGAAGAGTGGCCAGGTAATAGACTAATAGTAACTACTGAATATGATGCTCATTAACATCATGTGGCTGACCCTGAAAATGCTTATGAAATAAATGAAAAGCAGAAAACCACATTTAACATGCATTATGACTATAAATAAGACATAATACCCACATAGGGACATGGACCAGAAGCCAACTAGAAAAGACTAATTTATTAGAAAAGCTAGCTTTGCAATCCTTTTTCCTTTTTAAAACTTGCAATGCATATAAACTTAATATGAAACAAACTCTTTAAGGATCCATGTATCTAACTCCTCTGTGATACAACCTGAGACGCAAATGCCCTTGGTGTCAGACAAGCCTGTGTTCAAGTTTTTGTTCTGCTGAATAGTTGTGGTCAATTCTTTACTCCTTCCACCGTAGGGAGGGAATTCTGACACACCCCTCAACTCAAACTCCTTACTCAATGGAATCCTATGGGCTCAGCCATGTGACTACTTTGGCCACTGAGGGATATTAGCAACAATGACTCAAGGTTTCCTCCTGTGTATTAGGGCTGCCTCTGCCACCTCTGCCTCACCATGAGAAGACGCCATACTGGCCTGCTGCGGGGACAGAGGACACCAGAGGACAGCCAAGTTGCCCAGTCACCAGCCATCCCATCTGAAGCAGACCACAGACACTCTGTTAAACCACTAAAAAACAGAACCATCCTGCCGGCACGGTGGCTCACACCTGTAATCCCAGCACTTTGGGAGACTAAGACAGGCAGATCAGGAGGTCAGGAGTTTGAGACCATCCTGGCCAACATGGTCAAATCCCGTCTCTACTAAAAAATGTAAAAAAATTGCTGGGAATGGTGGCGTTTGCCTATAATCCCAGCTACTCAAGAGGCTGAGGCAAGAGAATCACTTGAACCCGGAAGGCGGAGGTTGCAGTGAGCCAAGATTATGCCATTATATTCCAGCCTGGGTAACAGAGTGAGACTCTGTCTCAAAAACAAACAAACAACAAACAAACAGAAGCATCCAACCAGCCTATAAACTCATCAGATGAATAAATGGTTGCTGATTTAGGCCACTATCAGAATAGCTTGTTATGCAGCATTATCTACAGCAGCAGATGACGAATATACCCTGTCGTCTTCCTCTCTCTATAGCCAGGTCCATCCACAATGTTTGGTGCCTAGTGAGTAGTGATGAAGGCTTTTTCTGTCACTGCCCCCACTCTGTGAGGAAGAATAAGACATTCATGCTTGCATCTCCCCCACTCACCCACCCACACCTGTCATTACACGTGCCATTTTTAAATACCTACTTCTTTGCACATTTCTCTCCTGAAATGACTTGAAAGCCATAAATGACTTGGAAGCAGGTTAGTTATTCACATCCACATCTACAGCACCTGGCACAGAATGGGCCCTCAATAAAACGTTTTTGCTTAAGTTGAATGAATTAATTTGGGGAGCTGACATGAACCAAAAGAGCCAGCAGCAGATGGCAAGAAGAATAACCACATAAGCTGGGTCTTATGCCAGGAGGCTTTAGCTTTCCAGAAAGCCCAAATAAGGGTGGGAAAAAAACCCAATGTCCTACAAAGATGAAAAGCATACTCGTTCTGCTGTCCTGTGCCCTTATCTCTGTCAGCACATTGCACATAAACCTCCCAGCCATCCACGTCCCCGGGAGGTCCCCTCAGTCCCCCTCACCCTACCTCCAGGGATGTGCCAATCTTGACCCTACCTTTAGATCAGACACGTCTCTGTAGCACTGCTCGGAGCGGGTGTGGTCTGACAGCTGCACATTCCAGAAGCAGGGGAGTTGGTACACAAGGAAGGGGTTTTGTTTGATGACAGCGTTGAAAATATCCTGGGGGAATGAAAGCCAAAGACACAGTCAAGACAGTCGGGTGGCCCAGCTGCCCATTTTGGCTCTCAGGGTACCACATCCCCTGTGACAGGGCTTCTCTTGGGCCTCCTGCTCTGAACACAGGCTGGCTCACACTGTGGGGCATCTCCCTGGCCTGTTCTCTCTAGGAACCAAGCAATAATGTTTGGATAGATATGGGGAAATGCCCCAGGCCAACCAGAAGCTCCACAGTTGTGCTGGTCTCATAAAGCCCTATCTAATGAGCTCACATGTGCAGACATGGGGTGTCGTCCCTACCCTTGTCGGCATATAATAAATGGAGTCTCCTTCCCTCTTGCCTCTAGGCAGGAACCCTGTGTTATCCATTCTGAGCCTCCTGGAGAGGAAACTGCATGATGACAAGCAGACCCACTCATTCAGGGACTGAGACAAATTACAGATCCTCCCTTTCGGCAGCGCTTCCTGGGCCCACGGTGGACTCAGTGATGGATGCTCCTTGGATTCCTGCAAGCCATGGTGCCCAGGATACATACTTTCCATTTCTAAATCCACCCCTGACTTGTCTAGAGAGGTTTTACCTTTTTTGGGCTCTTCTCCAAGCTCTTGCACCAGGCCGTACTTATTAACTAGCTGCTGACAGGTGGCGCCAGGAGGTGAATTATGGGCCTTCGTGGCAGAAGATGGCTGAATAAACGATCCTCACAGGACACGGGCATACAATTTCTGGCTTTGGGGGACATGCTGAAGTCACTGTGACCTGACTTGAAATATGAGGACGGTGGACGATTTTCCCCTCAGGTTTAAAACAGCTACCTGGGTATTATTTTTTTCTTAAACTCATTCATTATACTTCATCTAATGTTTGAAAAGGGAAATCAGTTTCTGGCTGCTTGGGAAATACTGAATAATCATGCTTTAAAAAATAACAAAGTAATCACGCCAAGTTGCTTGCTCCCTCCGTATTATGAAATTTTGCAGGCATTCGACGAACCAGGAAATTGCATTTTGAACAAAAACATGCAGAGTGAGCTGGCTCTTTGGATGAAAAGAAAAGGGTGAAATGCAGAAAACTCAGAGAAATCATCTTTGTGCCCTCAGACAGCTACCAGTGCCATAGGAAGATGAAAACTGAAATGAATGATCCTGGTAGAGTCAAAGTCAACTGGAACCCTCTGCCTTTCCTGGGATGTTAAAATAAGGACTGGGCTTTTTAAAAAATGAGTATTTGTTGGCTGGACACAGAGACTCATGCCTGTAATCCCAGCACTTTGGGAGGCTGAGGTGGGCAGATCATCTGAGGTCAGGAGTTCGAAATGAGCCTGGCCAACATGGAGCAACCCCATCTTTACTAAAAATATAAAAATTACTGGATGTGGAGAATCACTTGAACCCAAGAGGCGGAGGCTGCTGTGAGCTGAGATCATGCCACTGCACCCCAGCCTGGGTGATAGAGCAAGACTCCATCTTAAAATAAAATAAAACAAATAAATAAAAATGAGACTTCAAGGAGTTTCTGAGGCTGCCTGTATAGCAAAGTGGTTTCCAGGCAGTTTATCCTTTCTATTTAAATGCATTTCCCTTGAGTAAAGGGACACTATTACAGCACCTAAGCAAAAGGTTTAAATTAAAGATTAGACTCTATTTGCCAGGGAGGCAAGTGAAGTCTTGCCTGGGAAACACTGTGGCATCTGGGGTACCAGAGGGCAGGCCCTGTGCACTCCACCTGGCACCAACATCTACTTAGGCGTCTGCGTCAACAGACTATAAGCTCTATGAGGGCAGGTGCTGCATCCTTCGTCTGTCTCTGTCATCCTCTTTCTGAACTTGGCTCCTGGTATACACAGTGCTCAGTCATAGTCTGCAGAATGAGCAAATGAATGAACAAGGGAAGGCACTAAGGAGCTGAGCTGTTGTCTTAGACTGGCAAGTATAAGGCAGCTGTATTAGAGCAGAGAGAGTCACGCAATATGTAAACAACAATTCAGACCCATTTACTTTTAAAGTTTCTTCCTCTCGAGAACCACCAGCAGTGCACTCAGGAGTAGCTGTACCTTCTAACCAGGGCACTCACCTGGTCAGCTAAAGATGTAGACAGCATGCCCATGAGCTCCCTCTCTGCCGTCAGCCTCCACATCTGTTCCCATTTCATTTTCCGCAGCTTATCCAGAAGTAACAGGATCACCCCTGGGCAAAAGCACACGATAAAAGAGGAAGTTTAAAAAAATAAAAAAGTAAGAGGGAGAGCTAGGCTCGCCTACGCAAAGCACAGCCACAGCCTCTGGAGGATGACGGTCTTATGCAGACGAGAGGCCTACACACTGCTGCAGATAAGTCTTCCTTCTCAAAATTCTTCCAGTGAGACTTCACAGTCTGCGGCACCTGTTTTGGAGATGAATACACCTAGGTTCAAGCCTAGTACCTGCCAGTTACTCGATAGGAGACGTGAAACCATCTCTCTGAGACCTCCTCACTATATGGAGACTGGTAACACAGACCTCCAAGGACTGCTGGTAAGGATAAGTGAGAGGGGCAGGCAAAGCCTAGCACTATCTGGAAATGGACAGAGGTGGTGGCGGCAAAACAATGTGAATGGACTTCATGCCACTCAACTGTACATGTAAACATGGTTAACATGGTCAGTTTATGTTGTGTGTGTGTGTGTGTGTGTGTGTGTGTGTGTGTGTGTGTGTGTTTGTGTGTGTATATATAGATATTTTTTTGAGACGGAGTCTCACTCTGTCACCCAGGCTGGGGTATAGTGGCACAATCTTGGCTCACTGCAACCTCTGCCTCCCGGGTTCAAGTGATTCTCCTAACTCAGCCTCCTGAGTAGCTGGGATTCCAGGTGCACGCCACCACGACTGGCTAATTTTTGTATTTTTAGTAGAGAAGGGGTTTCATCATGTTGGTCAGGCTGGTCTGGAACTCCCGACATCGTGATCTGCCTACCTTGGCCTATCAAAGTCCTGGGATTACAGGTGTGTACATTTAGGCTTTGCTGAATGGTTAAGAAGCAACTACCTACCATCGGGTCAGTTACAGCATGCAGAAAAAGCCCAGGGCACAGAACACAAAAAGCCATGGGAATTTCCCTGCAGGCCACTGCAGTGAATTTGGTGGGTGGAATTGTAGCACCATGGGCCCTCCAAATCAATCCTCTTCAGGATGCTTAGCTCGGCAGAATGGTCAGTGGGGGAAACTCAAGGCAGATGAAAAATCAACTTAGTTGAAACCAGGTACCTGCATTTCTAAGACTCTGGGAAAGAAGCTGATTTCTCCAAATCACATATAAATGTCAACTCTAAGGCTTTTTACTTATTCCAGTGGCACATATTTAGAAAAAAGGTATATTTACCATTTAGTGAAAGGTATTTGGTCAGGAAGAGTTGGAAAAAAAAAATAGTATGTATATGGTTGTGGGAAGAATGGGATAACACACAGAGATCTGAACTTGTAGGTCTCAAGGACAAATCAGATCCGCTGCATAGCTCCTTTCGGCTTTGTCAGGTTTTTTCCACATCCTATTATCCTTTCCCCTAATGCTTCCCGAAATCTCTACAACATAGATTCTGTTATCCTTATTTTATGGGTGAGGACATTGAGAGGCTGGATCAGACACTGGTCAATTCACAGTTCAGAAGAAGCTATGCCAGATCCAAACTGAGATCTGCCTAATTCCAAAGGCGGTGCTCGTTCCACTCAACCACATAGACCAGAGCCCCGGCAATGTCGCTTTGGAGCCACGGGATTCAGGTCAATGCTTCTCTTTTGTTGACTCTGTTTCCATGAGTCTTCAATGAGGACAATGCTACTTGCCCTACCCAACTCAGAAAACTGTCATGCGCTCTTGTGGTAGGCTGGTTTAACCATCACCATCAAAACCACCAGATTTGTAGCATTTGCCAGTTGCCAAGGTGTAAACACTCCCATCACTGCTAATTTCAAACTAGCAATGTGATGTCACTGAACAAAACAAGTTGGGGAGGAAGGTGCACTGGAAATTGTTCACCATAAATCTATTATCTGATTGTCGTACTCAAATAAACAATCAGGGTAGGGGGTGGTGTAGAGAAACATTTACAAAGTTACAAAGCAAGAGAATATAGTGATGTAACTCACTGGTGACTGATTTAAGAAACTAGATTCCAGTCAAGAAGCTAGGTGTGGTGGCTCACACCTGTAATCCCAGCAGGAGGATCGCTTGAACCTGGGAGGCAGAGATTGGAGTGAATTGTGCCATTGCACTCCAGCCTGGGCAACAGTATGAGACTCTGTCTCAAAAAAAAATTTAAAACGCCAGTGAGATTGGTGAAAGTAGGGAAGCAAAGTAAGTACAACTCTATTTCGAGTTCACACATAGTAGCTACTCAATAAATAATTGTTGGATGAATGAATAAAAGAAATGTAAAAGGCGTTTTAAATTTAGAATCTGTGGACTCAGTAATGGCTAACTGGAAGAAAAAAGGAAGACTGGGTAGTTGATATTTCAAGACAAGGAGTCCCTTCAACATGGCAATCTCTGTCCAACTTTGGAAGTTGTACCCTAGCTAAGCTCTGGAGACATGAATCAAGACGGGTATATTTATTGCAGCATTGTTTATAACGACAGAAACATAATAAACAGGATAAATCTCTCAGCCTCTGGAGACCAAGCTGAGAACTGATGTTTTTAAATGGTGTGAAGACTTGGCGAGTGCTAAGTGGCAGATGTGATTTGCCAGACTGCTTGAGAAGCGGGGATGTCTAAAACAGATGACTAAACGCAGAAATGCAGGATCATTCTCCCAGTTGGCCAGTCTTTTCTTCCGTGTGACTTTAACGTTTAAAATTATGAACTATTTCAAAACAACAAAAAAGCACAGAAACTAATACAATGAATACCCACCACCTACATACAATAGACGCGAATTCACTGCCACATTTACTACTAAAAACTTAAAGCATTACAGATAAATCTGAAGTTCATCTCATCCTACCTCCTCACTTCCTCACAGGGAGACAGTATTGTGTGACGTCTATGTTTGATTTCTAGGCATGTTTCTCCATTTTTATCCTCTATGCATTTAGTAACAATACATGGTATTTTAGTGTGTTTGGATTGCACATTTCCTATTGTAACTCGCCTTTTCACCCTCTGTTCTATCTTTAAGATTTAATCACATTAGTGTTTCCTATCTTGTTTACTCACTGTAATCACATTACCCATTTCACAAACATAACACAAGTTACTTTTGCATTCCCCTCCTGAAGGATATTTTGGTTGTTTATTATGTTTCTGTCATTATAAACAATGCTGCAATAAATATCCTAATCTTGATTCATGTCTCCAGAGCTTAGCTAGGGTACAACTTCCAAAGTTGGACAGAGATTGCCATGTTGAAGGGACTCCTTGTCTTGAAATATCAACTCCCCAGTCTTCCTTTTCTCTTCCAGTCAGCCATTACTGAGTCCACAGATTCTAAATTTAAAATGCCTTTTATATTTCTTTTATTCATTCATCCAACAATTATTTATTGAGTAGCTACTATGTGTGAACTCATGGAAAAAGAGTTGTACTTACTTTGCTTCCCTACTTTCACCAATCTCACCGGCGTTTTAAAATAAAAAATAAAAATAAAAAAATACAATTTTCAGCCCGTTGTCCAGGCTGGAATGCAATTCACTCCAACCTCTGCCTCCCAGGTTCAAGTGATTCTCCTGCCTCGGGCTTTCAAGTAGCTGGGATTATAGGCACCAGCCACCACGCCCGGCTAATTTTTTGTATTTTTAGTAAGAGACGGGGTTTCTCTATGTTGGCCAGGCTCGTCTCAAACTCCTGACCTCAGGTGATCCACCCGCCTTGGCTTCCCAAAGTGCTGGGACGATAGGTGTGAGTCACCACGCCTGACTCATCTCATGGGCTTTATTCAACACATTAATTCGGCATGTATTTGCCGGAGGTGTAGGGTTCAATCTTTGCCAGGCTCTTTTGTGGAAACACACATAAGACACGGACACCATTAGGATTCAATGTGATGACCACAAACACTGCGAATATGTGCTGCTTATGAAGAGAGCTTGCAGGAGGGAGGCCTGGGTGGCCTGGGCTAGGACTGAGTCAGGCAGTGGGAGGCTGTCTGGGGAAACAGCATGGACAAAGGCATGGAGGCAGGAGACACATGACAAGATTGGGCTACTGAATGTACGACGGACATATCGGTTTCATTAGCCGGCTTAGGCGAACTGCCAGGACCGGAACCGCAACGCATGAGCAGGCGACGAATTCACAAGGAGCCTTGTACCTGCGCAACGCAGGTGCATTCCAGCCATTTTTATGCCATTTCCTACACAGAAAATGATACTCTTAAAACCCAGTGGAAGTTAAGCTGTTTGTGGCTGAAAAGATTGATCCAAGGGTTTTAGAGGCCTCAGGTCCTACCAAAGCGATCCCAAGGATGAGGAGATGATTTTGCTGGCACATGTCTCCAGTGTGTGACATAATGGTTGGGAAGCCCTACTGAGGACAACTGGGAATGAGTGAAGGATGTGGGGAAAGAGACTGACTGCAATTCCGTCTGTTTTAGAAAAGCCAAGCAAGCAGGATGAGGTAGCTCACGCCTGTAATCCCAGCACTTTGGAGACTGAGGAACGTGGATCACCTGAGGTCAAGAGTTCAAGACCAGCCTGGTAAACATGGCAAAACCCTGTCTCTACTAAAAATACAAAAATGAGCCGGGCGTGGTGGTACGTGCCTGTAGTCCCAGCTACTTGGGAGGCTGAGGCAGGAGAATCACTTAAACCTAGGAGGCGGAGGTTGCAATGAGTCAAGACTGCGCCGCTGCACTCCAGCCTGGGTGACAGAGACTCAGACTCAGTCTCAAAAAAAAAATCCAAGCTAAAATGTTGCTGTCATTTATCCTGTCATTTCACAAGATCAAAGCCCTCCAGTATTTCAGGGTGGCCTACAGAACAAGCTATAAGCCCCTGGTCATGGCCAGACCATCTGGTTCTCGCCATAATTTAATTTTCTTTTCTTTGAGGAAAACTGGCACAATGGCACTCTGCTATAAAACAACTGCACCCTCTGCCTCTGTGAACTTGATGAGCTGATCCTCAAGCTGCTTTTCTTTTTGGAATTCCAGAAAGTTTACTAAATATACCACTCTCTGTACCCTGATTCAACCAAGAATCAGAATCCAAAGCAA